GGAGCGTTAGCCGGTATACCGGAACGTACCCTGGTAACTATCTGATATGGTTAGGGTTAGGGTTAGGGTTAGGTAGTAGGCGTAGGCGACTCCCCAGACTCGTTAGTGGAGTAGGCGAGGTACGGTCAGGCATATTAGATAGTACCAGGGTACGTTCCGGTATACCGGACCGTACCCAGGGTACGTTCCGGCAGTACCCTGGGGGACGTAGACCCTCTCAGCGTAACTGAGTCGTACAAGGGATACTATTACAAAATCTGGGACGCGGTGTCCTACTTAATAGTAAGCCAATACGTGCTATACGGGGCGGGCCCGCCGATTCACAATGCCAATATCCTGGGATAGCTGTAGTTAGCGATGCAGCAAATCTGTGTAATTAACTGATAAGTGAAAGCTGCTGTTGTAGCTTTTCGCTATCCGCTATCAGCTGCTGGTTACTACTATACGCTGATGTATATCAATGACTCTGTAACTAACACTCTTGCTTATTTGCATAGAATTTACGAGTTTATTTCACCCTACACATTAATTCGTATAAACCATTCTTTCCATCTGTCTCTCTGTCTCGCTGTCTCTCTGTCTCTCTGTCTCTCTGTCTCTCTGTCTCTCTGTCTCTCTGTCTCTCTGTCTCTCTGTCTCTCTCTCTTTCTCTCTGTCTCTGTCTCTGTCTCTGTCTCTGTCTCTGTCTCTGTTTCTGTCTCTCTCTCTCTCTCTCTCTCTCTCTCTCTCTCTCACACTACCTCGTACACTCTGTCTGATCATACCTGTGCTTTTCCCATCGTACTCACGGCTTTTCCTGCGCATTCTTATCTTCGCATAGATTCGTGTTAGCTCGGTCTAGCTGGACTGTCCAGCGGCTGGATTGTCCTAGCGACAATATGCTATCGGTAAAATCTATCTCAGTCGGATCGGGCAAACGGTGCATGATACATTTCCACAGTTGTCGTGGCTCATTATCTGCAGATTCGATCATACGAGCCGATGGGCAAATTGTGTGGGTCAGCCGTGATGGTGGACACCGATAGCCTGAGGGTCATCTGTAGAGCCAATTGTTAATATTGTGTTGTTAAGTAATCCTCTCATTCCAAAAACCGATGCGAGTACCCCCTCCCCCCGGGCAACAGGGATGGGATTACACGTATGAGCAGTAAGTGGTTTAATTGCGGTGTGGTCTTCTTGGAGGTCTCCTTTTCCTTCTACATGCGTATATACACACAAGGAGAGGCCTAACATAGTATGTGTGTCCATTCTTCTTCCCTTCCCTCGCGCGTTCCCCCTCTCTCCCTCTCTCAGATTACACGTGTGGGTTGTAGGTGGTGTTAGAGTGATTGCCGTGCGGCCTTCCTATATGTCCCCGACCACCCACACATGGTGGTGTACAAACAAAGAGAAGTACAAAATAGTGTGTGCGTGCGTGCGTGCGTGCGTGCGTGTGTGTGTGTGTGTGTGTTGTAAATCCCCCCACCCCTCGCTCCACCATAGTCCTGCACTAAGTCAATGAGCAAGTTCCAGAAGTCAGTAAACAAAGAGGGTCTTAGTAACGATATCGATATGCAGATAAGATGCAGCGGTACGTGCATGCATGCATGTGTGTATATTGAGCGCGGAGGGAGGGGGTGGGGTCGTATTATTTACGCATGTGTCTTAGATCTCTCTCTGGCACTCGATGCATCTTAACCGCTACGCAAACGGGGGTAAAAACTGAGGACACGCAAGCGGGGGTAAAAACTGAGGACACGCAATCTGGTTGTAACTGGCCCAGATCTGATAAAATAAACACGTGTGAAGAGGACCAAGGAAGTTGAAAGCGCGGCTCGTTCGGCTACCGTGTTCGTAACATTTGTCTGCGAAAACAAACAGACTTAGTCACTAGACTTTGTTTTAGCAGCGTGGGGCTTCCAACGAGTATTTTCTACGGGGTAAGTTATTCCGGGAGCGCTATCCCGCGGCTCAGAGGCGAATGCACTGCGGATCGATGGCTGGTTTTAGAAATCTAGCATTTTATTACCCGCGAGGAATTCACAACCTTCTAAAGAAAACAGAAGGTTAATACACAAACGGGTACTTTCTCCGGTGTTGCGGACGCTGTTATTGTTAAAAACTAGTGTCAATATACTTGATGGCATGTCCATGTCGATGGCGTTTCTCGATACCGACAAGTGTCTGTCGTTAGGGCGGGGTAATAAAACATCCGACATAGCATGCGGAGAAATGATGATTTGAACAATAAAGATAATTCTCCATTTTCCAAGATACTGAGACCATGCGTTGGTGTGTGCTGATTTATTCGGACGTGATCATTCGATTTTCGTAATGCAATGTAGGGAGGGTACATGACTTACCGATCAATAGTTGATTGCACTTCTGTCGCGCGTGCTATAACAGTTGATGATGCTAAAATCACTCTCGTGACAATGCCTGGGTAGTAGTGGGTACATCCATGATATATTATTATACTACTCACTATATACCTGATAATCACACTAATTACCTGATATCAACACTATTTACCTGATATCAACACTATTTACCTGATACCAACACTATTTACCTGATATCAACACTATTTACCTGATATCAACACTATTTACTTGATACCAACACTAATTTATCAGGTAAATAGTGTTGGTATCAGGTAAATAGTGTTGGTATCAGGTAATTAGTGTTGGTATCAGGTAATTAGTGTTGGTATCAGGTAATTAGTGTTGGTATCAGGTAAATAGTGTTGGTATCAGGTAAATAGTGTTGGTATCAGGTAAATAGCGTTGGTATCAGGTAAATAGTGTTGGTATCAGGTAAATAGTGTTGGTATCAGGTAATTAGTGTTGGTATCAGGTAATTAGTGTTGGTATCAGGTAATTAGTGTTGGTATCAAGTAAATAGTGTTGGTATCAGGTAAATAGTGTTGGTATCAGGTAAATAGTGTTGGTATCAGGTAAATAGTGTTGGTATCAGGTAAATAGTGTTGGTATCAGGTAAATAGTGTTGGTATCAGGTAAATAGTGTTGGTATCAGGTAAATAGTGTTGGTATCAGGTCCAACACTAATTACCTGATACCAACACTATTTACCTGATATCAACACTATTTACCTGATATCAACACTAACTAGACAGAGGGCACTCAAGGTAAGTGCATACCTCCGCCAGCATGTAACATTTGTGTTACGAACTGGCTCGCCGCTCGCTCGCTCGCTGACTCGACGCGCTAATATCGATCGCTCGAACACACTAACGCACGAACGCACGAGACCATCACATAACCTCCTCCAACTCCGTTGGGGCGGAGGTAATTACCTGATACCAACACTAGTTACCTGATACTCCTACTAGTTTACCTGATATACTGATACCCACACTAGTTACCTAAGACGTTTGCTATCTGATGCGAGAGCTAGTTAAACACTGATAACCACGCTCATTGACAACTGTGTTCTTACTAATCACCAATCATCATCTCTCTCTCTTTCTGTGTTCTTGCAGTCGTGCTGATGTTCATCAACTGTGTCAACGTGAAGTGGGCGATGCGCGTACAGGACGTGTTTACCTTCGCCAAGCTGCTCTCTCTAGCCATCATCGTCATCACGGGCATCGTCATGCTCTGCCTAGGTAAGTTACGGTCACGCGGTCCGCTATTGTTAGCTAGCGCAGGTGATGCAGTGCAGAGAGAATTCTGTCCAGGTATCTTTCCAATCGTCGATTCATGTTTGCTCGTCGTTCCTGCTATGTTCGTCTGTCTGTTTGGTTATACATTAGTTAGTCCATCAGTGCATCCATTTATCCATCTGTGGGTCTGTCCGTCTGTCCGTCGGTCCATCCATTCGTCCATCCGTCCTTCCTTTCTTCCTTTCTTCCATCCGTCCGTCCACATGTCCGTCCATCCATCTGATTCCGTCCATCCGTCCGTCACCCACCCATCCATCCATCCATCCGTTCATCCATCGTTCCAGCCATCCGTTCATCCATCCGTCCGTCCGTCCCTCTGTTCGTCCATCCATCCATCCATCCATCCATGATCCATCCATCCGTCCATCCATCCATCCATTTATCCATCCATCCATCCATCCATCCATCCATCCATCCATCCATCCGTTCATTCATCCATCCGTCCATCCGTTCATTCATCTTTCTATTCATCCATCCATCCGTTCATTCATCCTTCCATCCATCCTTCCATCCATCCATCCATCCATCCATCCATCCATCCATCCATCCATCCATCCATCCATCCATCCATCCATCCATCCATCCATCCATTCATCCATCCATCCATCCTCTTATTCTATGACAACATGCTAGTTATAGTATACGATGCTAGATAATTTAGACTGGCGTAGCATGCGCTGAGATCTTTCTCGGTGGCACTGCGCCTCTGTGTGCTCAATCTCCACAAGTTCTCGCGAAATATCCTGTCACCGAATGTCATCAATTTAATATTGTAATCTCAGTAATGCTCGCCATCACTGGATCCGCTTTCTCGTTGAGCCTAACTTCTAATTTTGCAGATAACCCCCCACTCTTCGGTGCAACACCCCCTGTGCAAGCGAATGTATGCAGTTACGATGAAACGCGTAGAGAGATTCATATACTCCGTGCTTAATAACATTATCAGCCCGGGTTTCTGTGTCGTTTGCACTGCTGCATATCCTGAAGAAGCCAATGTCATGTTTGAACATCGAAATGTTGATGTCGTTCCTGCTTTTTCTGATGTACGTGTATATTCTCTGTCAAGCTTATATTCTCCTACCTCGCTGCTATCTCTTTTGTTAATACCTATTTTTTCCTATCTATGTCATCCCATTTATTTTATTTTTAAAAATCTTTTTGTCTTCGTCTCGTTTCCTCCCATCTTGTTTTCCTTTCTATCTATAATGCTTTTCTCTTCTCGGTCTTGTTTCCTTCTCTATCTAGGCTATTCTCTTTTCTCCTCTTCCATCTACACTATTCATCTCTTGCCTCCCCGCTGCTCGCCATTGTGGATTCTCTCGTTCTGCTGGCACATGCGTGGCCAGTCGCTATTGTTGCGTCTTTGCCGTATCAAGCCCTCTCCGCTCACTACTCTTGATTTGTCTCCGTTTACGACGTGCATATACTCGCTCGTCTTTTCCGTGTCATATTCCATCACGGCGTGTGAATAGCGGAGAGGTAGGAAGCGCATCCCCCGCAGACACGCACGCACACGTGCGCACACGCACGCATACACACACATACACACACATGCACGAACGCACGCACGCACGCACGCACGCACACTCGCACGCACGCACACACACGTGCGCACACACTCACGCACACGCGCACATACACAGATACACGCACAAATGCACTAACGCACGCACGCACGCACGCACACTCGCACGCACTCACGCACCTGCAACCCAGTGTCATCATAAGACGTGCAATACAAGATGCGTCTATTCTCGCGCCGGTTTCTCTCGAAATCCCTTTGTATTACCCATTACCAATAACCAACCGGGTTGCGTCACAAGCCCTCTCTGTGTAGCTCTCGCTTTTCTCGCGCAGTTTGTTGTTCGCTGCCCCCCGTTTAAAGTGCATTGAGTTGGGTTTTTAAATGCGGAGCGTTGTCCGCGCGTTCATAGACACTGCCACGGCGGTAGAAATTGTGAGCGAGTATTGTTTTGTTTTTTTGTTTGTTTTTGTGCGCACCGCAATTAGTGTGTGGTGGGTGGGCAACCAGTTCTAGATGTTGGTTCTATATTGTTGGAGGGGATGGGGTAGAAGAAGCAATTCCCTACGCGTTGTTTGTCGCTTCAAGTCGACATGAGTGTTGCTACGCTGCTAATCGGCGATAAAGTAGTCGCCGATAGTCAAATCGTAGGCCGACATAAGCGGGCCTTTAGCAGAGATTCATAATCATAGTGAAGTGTTCATATTGAGTATTGATGGTTTGAGGGTTTGTGAGAGTTGAGTTGTTATGTTCAATGTTTGTGAACATGACAACGTCATTGAAACAACGTTGGAACAAGGTGTGTTCGAATAATGTTGGAACAATGTGCGTTGGAACAGTGTTAGAACAATGTGCGTTGGAACAGTGTTAGAACAATGGGTGGCGGAACAGTGTTAGAACAATGTGCGTTGGAACAGTGTTAGAACAATGTGCGTTGGAACAGTGTTAGAACAATGGG